TTTTATGGTTTTTTTTTTTTTTTTTTTGCCATAGGGTGCGTGTGCTCACTGGAGAGAGAGACAGAGAGAGGGAAAGTGAGAAATCACCCCCTGCCACCCGGGCGATGGCCATGTCACACTCCCTTCTTCTCTTGGGATTTTGAGTACCCACATACACACACGTGTGCCCAGGGTGATTTTCAAGCCACCAAGTCCAGGACTCAAACTGAAGTCGCCCATGTGGGAGTCCAGTAGGTTAGCTGTTATGCTAATTGCTGGTCAGTCCTGGTGCAGGAGAGGAGACCCAAGGGGGTGTGATGTGAGAAGGGTTGTACTACCTTTCCAGGGGCCAACTCCTGGCGTGGTTTGCCTCCTGGTGCCTTCAGGATGCCCTTGGCTTTCTTTACTTCCTTCTCACTTGCTTTTGAAGGTGCTGCTGCTGCAGGTTTTTCCTTCTGAAAAGATAAAGGAGGAGAGCCCTGCAACCTGCCCCCCTGGGCGCAGTGCGCCCTCTGCCACAGGGAGGAGAACGCTTCCTTGAGTGGGCCACTCCTCGCACCACCCAGCTCGAACCCACACTCTAGTGCTCCTGTCCCTCTCTCTCTCTGCCTCAGCTGCCCATGTCTCTGTCCACAGACCTTCCAAGCCTCAGGTCTGGTCCTGTCCTGCTCCATTCTCAAATCCATCACTAGCTCTCTATTACCCTTCATGGGGTGGGGGGTGGGGTCCCACTCCCCACCCTGATAGGAAGCCTTCCAATCTTCAGGTGGCCTTTCTGGGTGTGACTTCCTGTCCTGACTTCTGTCTGGAACCACAGGAAGGCTGTCCTGTCTTTGAACAGGTATTGCTTATTCAGACCTTGGGGACTTTTTCTAGTTTGGGCTCTCCATCTATCCCAGAGTCCCCTCCTTTCCTCACCCCACCACCTCATCCTGTCTTTTCAGTCCAGGTACTCCTGGTGACCAGTTCAGAAGCTGAGTGCCCTTGCCCTGAGAGTTCCTTGTGCCTGGTGATTCTTGGCCTTCCAGTTCTCACAGTGGAGGCAGGAAGATTGGTTTCTTAGGAATGTCCAGGGTCTAAGGCCTCCATTTAGGAAGCATCACACCCAATCTGTAAGGGGTGGGGATGCTGAAGCATCATGAGAAAAACTTAATCTTTGTATCTCCTTTGGGGGTGTGCTGCTTGTGGTTATGGGGAGACAGTGGTCTAGATTGTAGTCTCCAGGTCAAACCCCTGGGTTGGATCCCTGATCCATCAATCAGTTTACCTATCTATCTATCACAGAGTGGTCAAGTAACCTTGTGTAAGTTACTGTTCTCTCTGTGACTTAGTATCCTAATCTATAAAATGGGAATAATAACAAGATCTACCTCATCAGGTTATTGTGAGAAATATAGACGTTACCACAGGTCACTGTAAAGCTCTCCGTGAATTCTGTAAGGCAGATGATTACATGAGAAGGTGAAAGACGTGTTTTGATAAGCCAGTTGGGCATGTGGGATGAAGCTATCCAAGGGCACTGTTGACATCGGAAGTTGCTTTCTGAGGAAGCCCATCCTGTTCAACTTTAGGGCTCTGTTTGACTTAGGGAAGAAAGGAGGTGCAAGCTCAAGCAAGGGCTGAATTTTTAGGTGGAGAGGAGAGAGGATGAGTCCTCTCATCCAGAGTGGTTCTCCTCCCACATCCTCTGCACAATGCTCAGCCTCCCTGCAGTGGTCACCTGTGTAGCTCTGCAACCCCCCCTCCCCGCCACCCCCATCTTGAGAAAAGCCGAGTGAATTGATATGCTGATATATTAGACCCAAAGAAGCTGGGGCATTTACTGATTCAGTGGCCTCTGTGGCCAAGACATTGAACTTAGAGGTCTTTGGTGTTAAGTATATATCACAGGAGTGGTGTCATAAGTAGTCCAGATTATAGAGGAAAAGCCTGGATCTCCAGGGCTGACCTCAGCAGAAGGGAGAAGAGTATGGAGGGGGCCTGAAAGATGAAGACAATCCCCTCCCCAGCCACTTTATTAAAGGTTCCCCCTACCTCCTGCGGCTGTCTGAAACCTGCTACCATCTTATGACCCTCTTTTAAAAATCCAGATGCTCTGGGAAGTGTAATGAGGCTTAGAGTTTTCATTATTCAATTATTGAATTATCAATGCAAATTTGTTTCCTCTGTGAGTCCACAATTATTTATAATAAAAGCCACAAAGAAAATGAAGCTGTTAAAACACTATTAGAATGTAATCCTCCTGGGCTAGACAGTGCTTGAGATACTCCCTAAGGCCAACCCACATGGAAAGGGTCCAGATTAGTGTCTAGAGACCTCCCTGAATATTATCAGGCACATGTGTGACCATTATGTGGGACTGGCTGAAGCTGGGGGTGGATTGCAGTATCATGACTCTGTTGGAGATGCTGTCTCTCCTTGTCTTCGTCTCTTTCACTCAAGAAAAAAAAAAAGCTTAAAATAATATAATAAAATCATAGTGAAAAGAGATGGAAGTGAACATATTTATCATCGATGTGAATATAATTTCTGTGATTGATGTTCAATGGAGTTCTAAGAGACCCCAGCAGTCAAGTTCCCATTCCCCCAAAAAACAGGGGCAGGAGCTAGACTCTCACTAAACATTAGCACCAGTATTGCAAAGGTGTGTAGTCAAGATTCAATTTCTTCTTGGTGTCTCAGGGTGGGGCCTTTGGATGTGATATGGTTATTAAGGCAGGGCTCCTATGATTGAGTTTTGGTGGTTTTTATCAGCAGAAGGAATAAGACCAGATTAAAAGAAACTCCTGGATACAGACCACACTCAGCTCTGCTAAAAGTTCTGCCTTCTGCCATTTTTCATGAAGCCCTTGGATTTCCCAGATACAGAATCATGAGCTTTGCAAATAAACATCTATTGTCTTTACAAATCATCCAAACTCAGGCCTTTCTGTTGGCAATGCCATAACGAACCAAGACAACACCTTAGTGATATAAGTAAGATGTGTTTCAGATAGGTTTTAACATGTCAGATGCACTCAAGATCTTTTTGACTGTAAGTGATAAGTGAGCACATGTTTTGGGGGTGCCTGTCCATGATGTTGACCGATTTTAAAGGACACACTCAGAGACCTAGCAAAGAAAGACATGAGTTTACTTACTAGGGAAGCTCCACCAATGGCCAGGTGGAGAATGGTCTGAACTGTCAGGGAATACAGGCTCAGGTTTTATATACCAAGAATAAAGCATGCACAAATCAAGTAAAGACATACATTATATAGGGGTTTTGATACCAGATCAGCTTATCAATTAATAAAACCAGCAGAGTATATCTGGGGTCTAGTGCCTCTAGTCTTGTGATGTTTACTGTGGGAGAGGTGTGAGGCATACCTCTGGAAGAGCCCTGGCCATGGGCCAGTTCCATGAGATAAGGGAATGGATGGATATAAGGGACTCCTGAGGTCCAGCTGTGCCAGCAGCTGGATCTTAGAGGAATAGGGCAAAGAGGAAGTGGGGAGGAGGGCTCAATGTATGGAGTTTACCCTCAGCATGTAAGCAGAATGGGAGCTTTCTGAAAAGGCAGAGAGTGTTCAACTGGATAAGGCAGAGAGAGCAGAAGGCGGTTATGGGAAGTTGGTCTAACAAGACTGATGAGTTTGGGAACTGGAAAAATATGAATGTGAGCCCTGGCTTTGCCCTTTAGTAATGCCATAAACTCAATACAATGACTTCTCTTTGACTCAGCTTTCTTGTCTACAGCGCACAGTAGATCTTAGCAGTTGCATGAGCCTACGTAGTCATTCGTATTGGTGTTTTTCACTTATTCTGGGGTTAGGGGACTCAAGGTCAACAGACATTCTCTGCCAAGGACCTCATTTTCCTAGGATTTGGCTTGAAATTCAAGACATCCATGGAAATTGGGTCTGGGAATGGGGGAGGAGCTCTGGGGAAAACCAAGGCAAAGTCAGGTTCTATAGTTCCTGGAGAAAGAGGAAACGGCAAATTAGAACTAACTGATACAGGGTGGAAAAGAGTGCGTATGATAATAGGAGTCCCAGTCCTGGAACAATGGCAGTCTGGAATGAACTCCTTTGACCTTGGAGTCACAACAAAGAGGGAAGTGCTGGGGACCATGGGAAGGATCCCACCCACCAACATGGAGAACCAATCACTGCCCCTTGGCCCTTCTGGAATACTGACCAAAACTAACATTCCCCACAGCCTGACTAAATTTTAAGTGGGATTCTTCCCAACTACAGGCATCTTTTCTTTTCTTTTCCCTTTTCTTCTTTTCTTTTCTCTTTTTAGAACATTTACTTTAAAAAAGTGCACTTGTAAATTCTTTGTTTCCTTTGAGATGTAACTCTTCTCTCAGCCTCTTACCAGTTTTAGAATGTAAGAATGACTTTCTGGAGAACTTGGGAGCCATCCCTTTGAAATGTGATCATCAAGAATATTGTACCCTTGTCTCTCAGTCTTTGTGGCAGGGTAGAAGCCTAACTTTGATAAATACCAACTAGCAAACACAGATTGTCTAATTAGATTCATTAATCTATTCCCACCCATAACATCCTCTAAAACTTTACCATTATCTCATTCCAGGGCTTAAAAGTCTTCCCTTTTATTTCAGGAAAATTGTGTTCAATCTCTCTCCCTTCTTGCAATACTTGTGAAAAAAAAGTCTTTTGGTAATTGTTCTTTGATAATACTCACCAGGGTAGATATTTGCTTCTTCTTCCCCTTCCTCCTCTCCAGCCATTCCAACACCCGTGTAAGGTCGGACATTCTCCTCTCCTCAGCAGTCCTCCAGGTGGACTTCCTCTCCATGGGCATTAAGTCCTTCAGGTTCTCTAGAATATTTGCCATGATGGAGTCTTGACTGTGCCTTGGGTGGAAGATGGCACTCTCACACACACTTGATTCCTTAGTCTTCACTTACTGGCCTGGGTGACTCTGAAGGTAAGGTTGGCTCCTAGATGTGACTATAAAAGATAGAGTTAGCTAAGCAGCTGGGAGATTGGCCTTGAAGGTTAGAAGGTCTGGGGAGTGATTGTGAGGTCACTGTCTGGCTTGGGAGCTGGCCTCTGGGCTCAGAGTGGAGGTGGACATTAGCTACTTCCTGCTATTCCCCATATGGCCAGTGCCCCTCCTCAGGCACTATCTCCCACCTAGGCTTTGCCACAGTCTCCTAATGATCTGCCCATCTCCACTTCTACAGCAATCTTACTAAAACAAGGGTCAGTTTACATATCTCCCTTTCTCAAAACCTTCAATGGCCCCCTGTTGCCTACTGGCCAAAAAACAAAAAACAAAAAACAAAAAAAACCGAAAAAAAAAAAACCCTTCAGTTTAGCATCTTGGTTTCCTACTGTGTAATCTATTCAGAGTGAAGCTTTTTATAAGCTCAATTTACATTCATTTATTCTTTCAACAGACAGTTATCAGATACCCACTACATGCCAGGCATGGTGTTGAGGATACTGAAGTAAAAAACATAATTAGGCTTCCTAAAACATATGGACTAGTGGGAAAGACAAGACATAATGACCCTGTGACTCTATAATGACAAGCTAAGATGAGTGCTCTTAAGGAAAGGAATATGGTTTTATGAAAGCCCATTAACAATGAAACTAGACTTGGCTGAGACAGTGTGTGGCTTACACTTGACCTGTAAATTAAAGTGTAAGCAAGCTCTGGGGCCAGCAGATGACATAATGGTTATGTTGCTGGACTCTTATGTAATCAGCTGTGGTTTGAGTCCCAGACCCGGCAGCTTAAAACTCATGCCAGGTGCGTGTGCATGTGTGCCCAAAATTCTGAGAGGAGGGTAGAGGAGAAGGAATGGTGGCATGGCCATGTCCCCTGGGGAGGATGATTTCTCCTTTTTCTGTTTCTTTGTCTGTCTCTCTGGTGAGCACACGTGCTCTATAGCAAAAAATCTTTCTCTTTAAAAATAAAAGGTAAGTAAGCTTCAACAGGGTTTCTATGGGCTAAACATTTGTGTCTCCCCCAAATCTATACGTTAAAATCCCAGCCCTGCAAAGTGATGATATTATGGCAACTTTGGGAGATGCTTAAGTAGTAAGGCTCTTCATATTTTGGAATTAGTACCCTTATGAAAGAGACTGAAGAGAACTTTCTACCGGGTGAGGATGCAGTGAGAAGGTACCATATAAGCTCCAAGAACTGGGTACTCCCCAGACACTAAATTTGCCAGCATCTTGATGTTGGGCTTCCCAGACTCCTGGCCTATTAGAAATAAATGTTTGTTGTTCATAAGTTACCCAATTCATGGTATTTTGTTACAGCAGGCAAAATAGACTAAGGCAAAGGCAATGAGCTGAGGGGTGAGCATGTGCCAAGGCCCTGCGGCAGGTTGACATCATGGCACACTTCAAGAGCAGTAAAAGGCCAGTGTGGCTAGAGTACCAGGTGATGAGAACTGTTGTAGAGAGGTGAGTAGTGGCTAAGCCGTACAGGAACTTGGTCACAGGTTCTACTCAGACTGGGAAGGGAGGGGAAGCAAAGGGAAAACAATAAAGTAATTGAAACAGATCAGAGGGAGGGACATGATCAGGCTTCCTACGTGTAGAGAAATGCTCCAGAATCACCAATGAAAATATCTGTGTACCCAGTGCCCCAGAATACCTTTTTATGGCTCCACCTGCTACACTGCTTCCCTCCAAGAGTAAAGAGACATCATCATAATATCTAATTTCATCGGTTATATTTTTGCCTGCTTCTGAGTGTTATAGAAATGAAATCATACACACGTAGTTGTATTGTATCTGAATTGATTCATTTTACAATATACAAGGGGTCTTCACAAAGTTCATGAGAACTTATAGGAAAACTAGGCAGTGATTTTAAAATTTTTTGAAAACTCATATTTTAATTCTATTTTTCATAAACATTTTGGAGTCCCATTATTTTGTAAATATATTTTTTAATTTCAAGAAAGGCAGTTTTAGCTTTAATAAATCAAAATAAAAAAATGGTCAGAGAACTTTGCTTAAGACTTAAAGCCAGGAAACAAGTTAGGATTCTGTCTGAATAGTAGGTACCTGGACCTGTCCACAACTCAAGAGAAGACAAAACTCCTTAACTCCGGAAAACAAAGCATAGAAGATCAGTAATGTTTTAGTCAAAATCATAACATTTTATTTCACCAGTTCAGACTCATGTACTTACTCTATCTTCTGTTGTGGTCTGATCTTTCATTTAAATTCTGTAAGATAACATCTGTGAGTATCAGCATTGGTCCAGTCAGAGATAGGTAAAATTGAACATAACAATGGCTCATTAGGAAGAGATAGAAAAAGAACATTTTTATTCACAGTGTGAGTTCTTATAAGATCATAGTACTGCATTGCACATAAAGAAATAAGTCTTCAAAAAAGCAAAGGAAAAACAAAATTGGAAAGAGATGTTTAAAAGATTCTAGACTTTTTAAAATTCATTAAAAAGAAAGACTCAGTTACTTGCAACATTTTGGACTTTTCCTTTATTATCCAATTTTATACAATGAATAATGATTACAATAATATATAAATTGAAACCTGTGAAGACAACTACCATATAATTGATTAATCAGTATTTAACATGTCCCCTGGGGAGGATGATTTCTCCTTTTTCTGTTTCTTTGTCTGTCTCTCTGGTGAGCACACGTGCTCTATAGCAAAAAATCTTTCTCTTTAAAAATAAAAGGTAAGTAAGCTTCAACAGGGTTTCTATGGGCTAAACATTTGTGTCTCCCCCAAATCTATACGTTAAAATCCCAGCCCTGCAAAGTGATGATATTATGGCAACTTTGGGAGATGCTTAAGTAGTAAGGCTCTTCATATTTTGGAATTAGTACCCTTATGAAAGAGACTGAAGAGAACTTTCTACCGGGTGAGGATGCAGTGAGAAGGTACCATATAAGCTCCAAGAACTGGGTACTCCCCAGACACTAAATTTGCCAGCATCTTGATGTTGGGCTTCCCAGACTCCTGGCCTATTAGAAATAAATGTTTGTTGTTCATAAGTTACCCAATTCATGGTATTTTGTTACAGCAGGCAAAATAGACTAAGGCAAAGGCAATGAGCTGAGGGGTGAGCATGTGCCAAGGCCCTGCGGCAGGTTGACATCATGGCACACTTCAAGAGCAGTAAAAGGCCAGTGTGGCTAGAGTACCAGGTGATGAGAACTGTTGTAGAGAGGTGAGTAGTGGCTAAGCCGTACAGGAACTTGGTCACAGGTTCTACTCAGACTGGGAAGGGAGGGGAAGCAAAGGGAAAACAATAAAGTAATTGAAACAGATCAGAGGGAGGGACATGATCAGGCTTCCTACGTGTAGAGAAATGCTCCAGAATCACCAATGAAAATATCTGTGTACCCAGTGCCCCAGAATACCTTTTTATGGCTCCACCTGCTACACTGCTTCCCTCCAAGAGTAAAGAGACATCATCATAATATCTAATTTCATCGGTTATATTTTTGCCTGCTTCTGAGTGTTATAGAAATGAAATCATACACACGTAGTTGTATTGTATCTGAATTGATTCATTTTACAATATACAAGGGGTCTTCACAAAGTTCATGAGAACTTATAGGAAAACTAGGCAGTGATTTTAAAATTTTTTGAAAACTCATATTTTAATTCTATTTTTCATAAACATTTTGGAGTCCCATTATTTTGTAAATATATTTTTTAATTTCAAGAAAGGCAGTTTTAGCTTTAATAAATCAAAATAAAAAAATGGTCAGAGAACTTTGCTTAAGACTTAAAGCCAGGAAACAAGTTAGGATTCTGTCTGAATAGTAGGTACCTGGACCTGTCCACAACTCAAGAGAAGACAAAACTCCTTAACTCCGGAAAACAAAGCATAGAAGATCAGTAATGTTTTAGTCAAAATCATAACATTTTATTTCACCAGTTCAGACTCATGTACTTACTCTATCTTCTGTTGTGGTCTGATCTTTCATTTAAATTCTGTAAGATAACGTTCACCTCTGGACTTATCTCTACCATTAAGCTGGCCGTTTTCTTAGTTGTTTTTGAACTCTTATTTCTGTGTGGCTGACTTTAGCTTTCCTGAGATAGCACCCCCTTCAGAACTTCTTGGAGAACTGGTCTAATGTTGGTAAATTCTTTCAGGATTTGTGTATCTGAGAATATTCTTGTCTTCTTTTCCCATATGAAAGATAATCTTGCTGTATATAGTACTCTTGCTTTTTGTTTGTTTGTTTGTTTGTTTGTTTTTGAGAGGTTTTTGCTATAGGGCACATATGTTTGCCAGAAAGACAGAGACAGAGACAAAAAGCAAGAAATCACCCCTCAGGGCAGATGGCCATGCCGCAATCCCTTCTCCTCCATTCTCCTCTTGGGATCTTGGGCACACATGCACACACACCTGGCGTGAATTTAAACCACTGAGTCTGGGACTTAGACCGTGGTCGACTACATGGGAGTCCAGCAACGTAGCCATTATGTTATCCACTGGTTCCAAGGATGTAGTGTTCTTGACTGAAATTGTTTTTCACTCAACATTTTGAGTATATTTTCCCATTCTTTCCTTGCTCACATTGTTTCCAATGAGAGATCCACTGTTAGCCTGATGGGATATCCTTTGTAAGTACCTTGACATTTCTCTCTTGCCAATTTTAGTATCTTGTCTTTGTGGTTTTGGTCAATCTGGCTATGATGTGTCTTGGAGAATAGTTTCTTGGATTGATCCTATGGTCCTTTGTATTTCTTGGGTCTGGATCTTTGAATGCCTCTCTAGGTTTGGAAAGTTTTCTTTTGGGATTTCATGGAATAGATTATCAATGCCCTTAATAGGCTCTTTACCTATATTAAAAGCAGACTAGATCATACAGAAAATTGAATCTCAGATGTAGAAGACAGAATCACTAGACTAGTAAACCCATCACGAAGACTGAGAAAAAAACCTCAATAAATGAGAATAATATATGAGAGATACTATATACCATTATATATTATATATATATAATATAC